GTTTTGCTGGAACTGGAAGGGCGCCCTTTGATCGCCTTCTGATGCCGGAGTGGAGTGGTGCGCCGCGGGATGGCCGGAGGGGCGCCACCGGAAATTTGGAATCCAAAAACACAAAGCAGCTGAGCAGGGAGGCATGGAGCAATGGAGGGGAAGCTAGATCGAAGAAATTTGTGTTTGTGTTTGGTTTTGTCGTGAAATTTTTTTTTTAAAGGCAAATTGGGCCCTCCCCAAAATGGGATCCTAGTTTCGCCACTGTATCCAGCCTCATAATTATATAAATGAATAAAGAAAAATGTACGGGATATATATAGTACGAGACCTGTGCGAGGCACGTGATATATTTATTTGGACAATATTATATTATAAGATGCAGTATTCAATAAAAGTTCTATAATACGAAGGAAAATTGTACAAAAAAATAGTATTCGAAAAAAAAGCAATCATATATTATGAAAGACCTACTTGTACACAACATTATGAGCTTGATTATTTGGCAACTCGTCATCCTCACAAATTAATATCTTCAACCTCTTCTATTAGTTACACGCGAAATAACAACATATAATTGCTCTCGTGTAGCATGATCTTAGAATCACCGGACGTCGAACGGTACTTTCTTAAATTACTGTCAACTTGGTAATTCTTGATACAAATGATGATGCCCTCCTCAAAATTCTTCTCTCTAAACGCAGTCAAGTTGATTGCCTTAGTCATTCCGCAATGCGATTTCCCTAAACATGTACAAAAAAGTAATTAATAAAAAAATTAATTTTTTTAAAAAATATAAATAATTTAAATATCTGAATACATAAACGATAAAAAGAAAGAAGCCAAAATTTAAAAAATAAAACTAAAAAAGTAGAAAATATACATTTCATAGTTCGAAATAAAAAAAAAAAGTTAAAATAATTTGGCTTACAGTTTTATCATGAAGGACCAACTCGAGATAAGATTTGTATGCGTTGCCCCGGTCTTGAAAAAAACATTCTTACAATTCGAGCCTTCAGCATAGGCCTATTAGACCTATTAACTTGTTTGATTAAGTCAAATCCTTGATTAATTATTTTGAATATAACACTAATTGGGGATATTTTTTGTTTGCAGGAGGTTGACATGGACGAAGACGATGCTCAATGTTTTGAGATTTGTCATTTATATTCGATCGATAGATACAATAGCGGTTAATATTTTTATGATAAAATCTCATTATACGGAAATCGGATTCCATTTAGAGAAACAAATCTGAATAGATTTCCATACAATTAGATAGGATCGGTGATAAAAAATAAGAAGGAATTTTGAATATATACAAACTTTAAAAATTAGATGTATTTACGTAAATCAAAACACAACTAAACCCTTTAATTTAGGCTTGATATCTGCTTTATTTATGGGTGATGTAAAATAAAGATATAACTTTGACCGATCAAATCTTTTATCACCGATCGAATGTTTTTTTTTGAATTTTACGTACAATTTTTGAGAAAATAGATTTTTATGAGAATTTTGTTGATTAGATCGATGTAATGGGGAAAACAAAAAAATAAAACAAGTAAATAAAATACTAACCTAAAAATAGGATACATTAATTAATGTTGATTTTTCTTACTACTAAATATAGTAAATAGGATGACTTATTATATAAGTATAGATTAAGCATTAGATACAATCAAGGAATATTTTTTTATTTTGTTTTGAGTATTGAATTTTTTTAAAGCCATTCTCTCTCTTCCAAAAACTTTGGTCCAAATCTCATTCTCTAGAAAACCTAGCCATTGCTCTGCACCTTCCTTAGTCGGTCTTGTCGGGCCTCCACGACGGTGGCCGTCACCGGACCGTGTGGCTTGGATCCTAGAGAGTTGCCGCCCGAAGCCGTAGAAGGGTCGCCCTCGAGTGGGTTTCGCAGTACTGTTGCCATGGCAGGAGGAAGTACGTCGATTCTCTGGATAGTCACATAAATTTAAAACGTGTAAATCACTCTGACTAAGGCTACAATCCCGTTACGAAACCATTCTGTTGGAATTTTTAACCGTTAGATGCATATGCTACACTAATCTACATGTACATCTAACGGTTAAAAATACCACAAAATAATTTCGTAACGGGACTGCAACATTTTCCAATCACTTAGAGCATGTTTGAATACAAAATTTTTCAAAAAAAATCCAAACATTTTTAACTCAACTATTTTTTAACTCAACTTTAACTCAACCCCACTATCATTGGTATTATCAATATAATTAAATAATATCAATCAATCATTCTTACACACCACATCACCTTAATTTACTATTCATCCACTAACATAATTTTAACTAACCATCACTTCAAATCTTCTCTCTCTGACTTTACATTAAATCAACTTTAATCATTTTATTTTAAATATTATTTAAATATTTCCACTAACTACTAAATATACTAACTTTTTCAAAGCTAACCAAACTAAAGA